TGAGCACACCTGGTAATGTCATTTTAACCAAAGTCTTCATGCAGAACATAAGCTGACCTGACTCTCCATTAAACAGCTTCATTTGAATTGCTTGTGTTTTGAGTTTCATTTTCAGACCAGGGGCTCGTTCTTCGTACGTCGCTAACTCTAGCTAGTCCAAAACTTTGAAAAAGGTACGCTCCACCAGCATAATTTACCCCCATGTCATCCAAGATATCCATGTCTTTCTTTCTTCAGTCGAAAAGAAATTAAGGTTTTTCATGAAAACATTCCAGGATTTTTCTCCTTATAATGGACTTCAATGGGAACCAAACGGTTCAAGGTCCAAAAGACATTTTCAGTGCAAACTGTTCAAAGGGCTTTAAACGATTCCAGACGATAAATAAGGGTCTTATCAATCGCTCTTTTGAAAAAAAAAAAAATGTATAAGCTCAAATGTTTACCTTGCTATGTTCTGTGTTCAATAAAAAATTTCCAAAATGTAAAATCTTATTACAGACACTATTTTAGGTGGCGTTTGGTCAACTCGCGAAGTTCAGTGCATAGTCCATTATATTTTAGGATTTAAATAAATTTTCCACTTGTCCTGATATGTCACCAAATTATCTTAACACATTTTTGAATGTTCTCTTATTAATCCTGTCAAACCCTAAATTATTCTGACTTTAAATATAAAATATTGTTATAAAATAATACTAGAAATATTGTTTTTTTTTATTATGAAGTGAAAGGACAAGGTGAGATGTTTTATGTAGAAACATTAGAATAGAAAACAATACTTTTTCCCCGCTGTGAACAATGTAGGCAATGAGTTCAGCTTCAGTCTCACGCGCATTCGAAAATGACGTCATAAAGAAGTTGAGCGTTGTCATGGTTCTTTGTGTTGTGTTTGTCAGCTAAATTAGTTCAGCTGTGTGAAACACATACCGTCCATCAGTCTTCTCGTTGTTTATTCTGCAGTAAATATGATGAAGTTAGCCAAATGGACACTGACAACTGCCAGCATGGCACTGAAGAGAAAGCCCCTCGCTCAGGTGTGCGACTTCCGTTACAGATTCACACCGTCAACATTCAGATACGCCGCGACTACAAGGACAAGTGAGGGCAAGTCAAATGACCATTACAAATCAATCCACACACCACCACGAATTATATTCAAATTAAACTTAAGTGTTTTTTTACAATGTACAATTGGGTTTACTGCCATATCTCAAATATTACTCTCACTGCTGTCCATACTTGACATTTCATGTCAACAATAACCATTAATCTTTTAACAGGCGACATTCTCAGCCGGTTTAAAATCGGCAAAATGCTTGGTGAGGGAGGATTCGGCCAGGTTTATGAAGGGAAGCGCTTGGAGGATGGACTTGAGGTATAGTCATCTTACATTTATCAATTTAGCAAATTCTTTTTCGTCTCACTATCCATTTCAAGTCCTTTTATTGTATATTATGTTCACTAGGCTATGTGGTGCAACTTACATGTTTGTAAATGTAATTGTAATGGGCTAAATGTTTTGTTTTGTTAATCAGGTGGCAGTGAAATTTGTCAAAAAGTTCAGGAGCATGGAATACGTCAAAATTGTAAGTTTGATCATGAAAACAACATTTTTCCAAAACTGGACAAACATATTTTATACTAAAATCTTATAAAAATCCTCTAATCAACAATGATCTTTCTTCCAGCCTGGTCATCCTACAATCCTCCCATTAGAGGTCGGCCTGTTAACCGCTGCTAATAGGGACCCCAAAGTTAAAGAGATCATTGAACTGCTGGACTGGCAGGACCAGCATGACCAATATATCATGGTCTTGGAGCATCCCCCACACTGCGAAGATGTGTTTCATTTTTTGATTGATCACAAACGCATCTTCAGGGAGGAAACGGCACGGACTATCATGGCGCAGGCAACAACGGCTGCTCAGACGTGCTGTGACCGAGGAGTTTTCCACAGCGACATCAAGTTACAAAACCTGCTGATCAACAAAAAAACACGGGAGGTCAAACTGATTGACTTCGGGTGCGGGAGATTCCTGAAAGAGTCCGGCTATGACGACTTCCGTGGTATGTATTATGAATCAAGGTTTGAAAAGAGTTTTTATTTTTTAAATCTAGATGAATATGTTCTCACTAAATATATCGCCTCACGCCTGGTTTGGCCATGGATTGATCTCACTTTTAAAACTCCAGAATTGTGAATAAAAACAACTAAATTATTCATTTACTCTAATGGATACAGAAGGTGTTGATACACGGGGCAACTTTTTTGAGCAATGTTGCAGAGCGATGTTCCTTGGGCGCTTTCTCATTGAGAATGGGCAACAAATTTCTATCTGGATACTTTAGATCAGTCATGGGCCCTTTATCTCACCTGGTTTCCTGTTAACGGCAACATTGCTCAATAAGTTGCCCCGTGTATCATCACCTAGAGAAAACATGCTATGGGATTTCAAGCTTAACCATCAGACAAATCTCTTTTTAGGCACCATAACGTACTGTCCACCTGAGCTCGACACATTGCACAAGTACCACGCTGAACCAGCTACTGTGTGGTCTCTGGGAATGCTCTTATTCGAGATGGTTTGTGGACGCTTTCCAGAACCCGAAGAGCATCCGAGGATTAATAATGACATGTGGTCTGAGCGTCACTTGTCAAAAGGTAAAATTGCATCCATCACAAAAAAGATGATCAATTATAATTTCAAATCAACAAAGTAGAACAAATGAAACAAAGAAGTAACAGTAACACCAAAACCAGAAAGCTTCATAAAATATGGCTGTTACCAGTTCCAGTTTTTTTTAACCGTACAGTATAGCGTAGTCTAATCTCACAGCTTAATAGAAAGACAGCAGGTGTAAAGTTTAAGATCTCTTCACAGATTGCTGCCACCTGATTCGACGCCTCCTGCAGGAAAACCCAAAACGGCGGATTGGTTTGGAGCAAATCATTTCCCATAATTGGTTTAAGGTAATGACCCTAATAAGCTAGAAATGAATTTGGATTTACAGGTGGAACTCGAAAAATTAGAATATCATGCAAAAGTTAACTTAGTTCAGTAATTCAACTTAAAAGGTCAAACTAATATATGTGAGAGACTCATAACATGCAGAGTGTGATATTTCAAGCCTTTATTTGTTATAATTGTGATGATTATGGCGTACAGCTATGAAAACCTTTTCACAATACGACAATTCACCACGACGTCACAACAATAATAGACGTTCTTACGGGTGGCAAAAGCCGAAGCGTCCCTATGGCAACACTAGTAAATTGCATGGAGGGAGACACACCGCCGGCAGAAGCCTAATCTACATTTCAACAGTTGATTCAAGAACAGACGTGGTGGAAATTCAGATATAGTTAACATGATCATTAAAGCTTAGATTCTTTGATCTAGAGACGTGCACTCCCAACGCACTAGACCGCGGCGCGGGACTAGATCTGATGGCCGAGTGCGGGCGGTAATTTGCAGTCTGTGTGTGCGGATTGCAGGAGAATAAAACGATTCGCGGGACTCCCGCAAACTAGAAATATCTATGAATAAAACAAATAAAAACTAATACATTTGTATTTATCTGTTGCAGAAAAGCAACAAGAACAACTAAAACAAAATAGAAATGTACATGGTAGAGTTTCTTTTTATAACGTGACTGCAGCGATGAGCGATGTAGCCAATCACAGACATATGTGTTGATTTATTGAACGCATTGGCCAATCAGAAGCATTTACGATGAAGAAGCATTTACTCACCGCTCAAAAGAAAGTAACATAGAAAGTAATAGAAATAACTAAGTTAGTTGAGAACGTCAGTTATATAACGACCCACATATTAAAATGGTTGGGTTTAAATCGGGCTCAGGCTCATAATTAGAAGACGACATGCACTTTTGACGACGTCCACTCGCTTTAACCTCCTCACCCACAGGTTCTGCTGGATAGATTTACTTTTTTCTGAAGGAAATCGATAAAAAAACCTACACCTTTTGCTGTATATCTGGTGGCGCAACCCCAAACACAACATATTTTCGCCATAGATTCAACTTTGATCAACAACAATGATTTTAACTGTGTAACTTTTTAGTTGCCGGCTGGATCTCTTCAGTTAGTCAATGGAAGCCGCTCGCGTTCTGCCACCCGGAAGTATCGCGGTGCCTATTGTTTACAAACATTCTGAAATGCCCTATATTCTAACTGAATTTGGTGTTTCATCCATAATCATCACAATTACAACAAATAAAGGCTTGAAATGTCTCACTTTGCATGTTATGAGTCTCTATAATATAGTAGTTTCACCTTTTAAGTTGAATTACGTAAATAAATGAACTTTTGCACAATATTCTAATTTTTCGAGTTTCACCTGTATATTAATATTTGGAAAACACTTTTTTTGTCTATTTGTTTGATATGTTCTTAGTTTATTGTAAAACAGGAAAAGTCAAGGTCAAACTCTTATATGTGTAATGTATGTTTATCATCAACCTGTTAGAAAGGGAAGCGATAGTCAGGAGAGACAGAAGAGGAGGAGTAGGTCGGAGCAGCAGCTGAGGTCAGGGTCAGAAAGTGGACGATCAGACCACTGCAGCCACTAGCGAGAGAAGTTTTCTGTTTATTAGAGCTCTGTACATCATTTTCAGAAAGATTAATGCAATCCCATATATACCTGGAAAACTGGCATGCCACCTGCCAATTAAATAATCCAAGAAAGTGAAAACGTGTATTTCTGTTACTTTGAATAATGGCGAAAGGTGAAATGTATATTTTTCTTCTCCAATTATTTTTTTCCCCAAAACAGTTGCTGTCAAAACCCAAATTTAATGGAGTGGAGAAGATCAAAACATGGACATACATGGCTGCTACGGGACTGAATGTGACCCCTGGACCGGATTACGCACAGGTACTCTGTTTCTCTGTCCAGGTCGTATCCAGATTGAGTCGATGCGGCTGAAAAGCATCAACCATTTGAGGAAAATGAGATGCCGATGAGAAAGAGGACAAGGACGGGAAGTTTTGTGAAGGTGCCGTCTCTTCATTATCGCAGCTCAGACCAGACCACTGCACCGATAAATGAGAGAAGTGCTGAGGGTAAATCAAATGACCATTACAAATCCATCCACACCAACACCCATTATACCATAATTAAACTTAAGAATTTCCTTTTAATTCCAAGACATGTCTTAAATATCTAAACAAGTTTTGTTAAAAAAAACTCCAATTGAGTTTACTGCCATATCTCAAATATTACTCACTGCTGTCCATGCTTGACATTTCATGTCAAATATAAGCATTAATCTTTTAACAGACGGCTTTTAACTTTTGGCTGCTACGGGACTGAATGTGACCCCTGGACCGGATTACGCACAGGTACTCTGTTAAACTCTTCTAAACTAATTTTTTTGTAAAGATTTCACTGGATTGATTGTGGTGCTAACAACCTTGATCTGTGCTTGAGCTGTGAGTCTCAGGGTGCAGTCAATACTGAATTTCAAACAAGTACAATGACAGTTTCCCGCTCTTTTTCTGAAGAAACATTGACCGGCAGTGCATGTACATTGGAACAATGGTGGAGTTTGCGTTTGCTTTGGAAGGGAAACTGGATGACATCAACAAACCATTCCTTTAATGGCTTCAGCGCTTTCACACCCAACAACATATTGTTAAAGCTTTCTTCAAGACAGATCGCTTTGCCCTAGCATAAAGATAATACATTAAATCTTGATGTACTCGTTACATCATAAGAAGAATGGCATCTACGCTAATTAGTGTCTTTGTTTATCCCGAGGTTTTCCCGCAGCCTGCCGGATCCAGGCCGTATCCAGATCTGGCGAGGACCTTAGCCTGGACACGATGACGATGACAATGCAGTGCTGAAGTGCCAACTAGCCTCTCCCTATGGAGGATCCCTTTCCCACTCTACAGATTAAGCGATGTGAATTCGTTTCGCGTCCCTACCCTGAAGTGATTCGAAAATCTGTATCAAATTTTTAGACAAGAAGTTTGTTCAGGCATGAGGGAATTTAAAAACCTGCGCGCATATATTCAAACGCACATAACTATTGAATCAATTCTTAATGCGCATGTGAACGTCATCAGCAGGGCTGTTACTACCAATTTATCACAGGTTCACGTTTAAAGTCTATTTAGAAACATTCATATACATTTTTACGTGACAGTTACTGTAAATTCGGCCTCTAGTTCATAAACGCCAGAGGAGAACTGGCCCCCGACTGAGCCTGGGTTCTCCCAAGGTTTTTTTTCCTCCATCGGGTCACCTGATGGAGTTTTTCAGTTCCTTGCCACTGTCGCCTTTGGCTTGCTCAGTTGGGGATATTCAAATCAATTATACTACAGGGCTGTTGAACGCTTGATTCTGATTGGTTGAGAACGCTCTAAAGGTGTGCAATTATTTTCACGGCTAAAGTAGTTTCAGGCAAGTTTGAACCGCATTACAGTTCCATATCACTGCGCGTAGTTAACGGAAAATAGGATACAATTCATACCAAGAGAAGACATGCAGCCCCATGCGCTTGATCTGCAATTTTCGATGTCTAACTTCACAATCAAGTGACACATACAGTGTAATTTTAATAAATAAAGTATAGTCCTATCTATAATAGGCTAAATAGAAAATTAAACTGAAGGCTATATAAATAAATTAATAGTTCTGCTGCACGTAATTTCATAAATATTCCAGATAATATAACAAATAAATAATTATTGCTAGGCCAACTTGTAAAAAAGTGCTTTGTGTGTTTCATTTATTGGGTTATCTACTGTCAATTATAGAAAACAATAATGAACAAATTAATTAAAACGAAGTTAATAAATAAATAATAATATTGACGCACATGCTTTTCTGTCTCATTATTTCAATGTCTCTCTCTCTCTCTCTAATAACTGCATTAATAACTGCATAAAGCCGGGACAGACTAGTTTAGGCCTACTAAGGCCAGTTATGAATGTAATTTGATACTTCTGACTGATCATGCCCAAACGCGTGGTCAGTCTGTGTTCAAACAGTTGGTGTTTAGTAAGACCTGCTACAGTCGATGGAAACAGTCGGTCTTCGAATATTTCAGTGAATTGTAAGTGTGTCCCCCATCATTACATTAGTCTGCTATCAGTGGCTCAAACCTCCGTTACTACTAAACTCTAAAATGACGTTTAGGAATTAGCAACGGAGGCATGGGATTAGATGCGTAAGAAATTAGACCCACATACAAGAGCGCTTTAATATCAAAAACTTGACAAACGTCTTGATATGAATCATCTGAACAATGTTTTGAGGTGTGGTAACTGTAGTATAAGAGGAATAATTGACTTCAGGCCGTTGAATTATCCGAAAAATAATGCACACCCGAGGTGTAACTCCGCTTCGCGTCGTGACCGCATTACCACCTCGGGTGTGCATTATTTTTCTAATAATTCAACAGCCTGTCGTCAATTATTCCTTACTTAACCAATCAGCTCTACCAAACGTGGATGTTTTTCCACTAAGAAACGAACATTGTTATTATGTTTTGATTGATACTGCGAAGCTGATTTGATGCAATCTATATTGTGAAAAGCGCTATATAAATATACTTGACTTGAGCATCTTTTAAAAAATAAATAAAAATATTCACCCAATAACATCAAAAGCATGTTGAATACTGTTGAGCATCCGAGTGCGCATTCACCCTCACTCTTGTTCAGGAAAAACAAACGAAACGTTAAGTGCTGTTTATCCTCTTGCAGGATTTTATTAGCAAGCATCACTTGAACATCAACGATCAGTTCACATGTTTTTCTCAATTCAGAAGCATGAGACGTAAAGAAGAACGTAACGTCATCACGTACATACACGTATACCTTCTAATAGAACAATACGGGTAGTCGGGTACCGTAATACAATGTATAAGGGTGCAATACATTTAACACCCCCACTCACTCTTAGCCCATTGTATTTTTATAACATCAAATTAAACACCAAATAAAATTTTCTCCTTTACATAAATTGAATGTATATAAACATTTTTACACTTTTAAACTCCAAACATATCCCGACTAAACCTCTTTAACTTCTGCTTGGTGGCTGGCTTTGTCATTACGTCAGCAACCATTGTCTCTGTAGGACAATATTCCAAGATAACCTTGCCATCATTTACAATTTCTCTTATGAAATGGTATTTGATATCAATGTGCTTGCACCTTTGCCTACAGACTGGGTTTCTGGCTAGTGCAATGGTACCTTGGTTGTCTTCGAACACCTTTGTTTGTGCATATTTGTATGTGTCCATACCCTTAAGCAACTGTTCTAGGTAGATACATTCCTGCATGGCTGATGCTAAAGACATGTACTCTGCTTCGCAAGTAGATAACGCTACTGTCGGTTGTTTTCTGGTTTTCCATGAGATCAAAGAGCTTTCTTCACTCAGATTAACACAGTACCCTGAAGTACTACGTCTGTCTTTTGTGTCAGATGCCCAGTCAGCGTCACTATACACTCTCAGACCTAGACTCTCTGTGTCATTTCTCCTGAAGCATAGTTGCTGTTCTGCTGTACCTTTAAGGTACCTGAACACATGTTTAACTGTGTTCCAGTGCTGTTCTGATGGTTCAGCAAAATACTGAGACAATTTACTGACAACAAAACTCAGGTCTGGTCTAGTACAGGTGGACAAGTATATCAAACTTCCTACTGCCTCCCTGAACATCTTTGGCTCTTTCATTTTTTCTGCATTTTCTGTAAAATCAAGTTTTGGTTCACATGGGGTTTCCCTTGGTTTACAGTTCTGCATGTTGAAACGATCTAGTATTCTTCTCACATATCTTTCCTGTGACATTTTAACTAGACCCTCTGCTTGTTCAAAATCTATTCCCAGGAAGTGTCTCAACCTTCCCATGTCTTTCATTTTGAACCTTTTTGTGAGCATTTCTTTTACACTTTCCAGAACACTTTCACTGTTAGCAGCTAGGATTAAATCATCCACCCATACTATCAGGATTACTTTCTCATCTGTCTTTTCTTTAGTGTACACGCAATTGTCAGCTGGGTTCTGTGTGAAACCGTTCTCAGTCAAACATATATGCAACAAAGCGTTCCAGTTCCTACCAGATTGCTTGAGGCCATAGAGAGATTTCTTTAGCATGCATACTAATTTTCCATCTTTTTCAGATTTTTGCTCATAACCCTCAGGTTGTTCCATATAGATTTCATGATCTATAGGGGCATGCAAGTAAGCTGTCTCGACATCCATTTGGTGCAGGATTAGGTTTTCTTGTGCTGCTTTCTGCAAAACTATTCTCACACTTGTCATGTCAGCTGTTGGGGAGAATGTTTCATCATAGTCAGTCCCTTGTTTCTGACTGTATCCTTTCGCCACAAATCTTGCCTTGTACTTTTCAGATCCGTCAATGTCTCTCTTAAGTGCGTAGACCCATCTTCCTCCGACTGGTTGTTTTCCTGGTGGTAGTTTGGTGAGTGTGAAGGTCTTGTTCTCTTTCAATGATTGCATTTCTTTGTCCATAGCATCCTTCCATTGCTTGGATTTTGTTGATGTTACGGCATCCTGGTAGGTTTGAGGTATATCACATACTGCCCTGTAGCAAAAATCTATGCATGTTTGCAATTTGTCTTCAGCATCCTCCGTTTCAAAATCTTGAAGGTAAGCTGGCTTCTTCTTGGTTCTTGGGGGATTCTTTCTGGTCTCGGATTCTGTTGCTCTACCTGACTGATTGGGAGCATCCTGTTCGGGTAAAGTCTCTGAAACATCACTCTGACCACCATGATCTGGTTCATCCTCCACATTATCGGCGGCACTGATTTCACTGCTGAAGGTATTTGAAACCAAGTTTTCATACCTTGTGTGTGTCTCAGATGTTTGTTTTTCTCTTTCACTGGTTGTCTGTGTCGTGAACTTCACCAATCTGTGTTTTTGAACTTTTGCGGTGTTAGGGTAGTATACAAGATAGGCGGGGCTGTTCTTGTCGTAGCCTATAAAAACACCTTGTTCGCATCTTGAGTCCAGTTTGCTCTTCTCTTGTTTGTAAGCAAAACATATTGATCCAAATTTCTGCATTTTCGAAACATCTGGCTTTTTCCCTGTGAATAACTCATATGGTGTTTTCTTTGTACGTCTGCTGTAACACCTATTTCTCACATAGGCTGATGTTTGCATTGCGTAGTTCCACAACTCATCTGGCAATTCGCTCTCTATCAGCAAGCATCTGCTCATATCAAAAAGTGTTCTCCATCCTCTCTCCGCTGTGCCATTCTGATGTGGCGAATAAGGTGCAGATGTTTCATGTCTGATCTTACTCCTTGTCAACAGCGATTGGAAATCTCGACTCATGAATTCAGTGCCGTTATCTGAACGGATACACTTGGTTTCTCCAAAAGGTGCAATGTCAGCTAAAAACTTCTCAGTAGCTTGTATTGTGTCACCTTTAGTTTTCAGGAAGTACACGAACATTGTACCTGAATAGTCATCTGTAAACGACTGTACATATCTGTGTCCTTCTTTGCTCGGTGTTGGCATTGGGCCGGCCAGATCCGTGTGAATCAGTTCCAGAGGTTTCTTTGCTTTTCTGTCTGGCTCCCGGTTTCTGGTCTGCGTGAATTTTCCTTTTGTACACACTTCACATAACTGTTCCGGTCTCATTTTGTTTCCTTTTATCTCCATGCCTCTTACTACACCTTGTAGCTTTAGTACATCTTCATGATTACAATGTCCCAAAATTTCATGCCAGGTTTGTAAATCATGACACACTTTGCACTGGTCAACGCCCTCTTCTAGTGTTGGTAAATAGTACAAGTTTCCACTTTCATGTATATCAAACCTGCTTCCGTCTTTGGTAATCAAGTGGCTGTCTCCCTTTTTGAAAATGACTGTTGATCTTCCATTTGTTGCTCTAGCTACCGAGAAAATGTCATGTGGGTATGAAGGCATGTATAGTGCGTCCCGTAGCTGTGCAGTGTGCTGCTTTCCAGCATCATCTATGAGATAAATCACTGCAGTTCCTCTTTGTTGCGCCATTCCACTGCACTTCGTACCGTCGGCTAATTCTACTGAATGAGTCTCTGGTTGAAATGAGCTATCAAAACTTCTGAATTTTGTGATGTTGCTCACAATGTGTGACGTCGCTCCTGCGTCTACCATGATGCCTTTCATCTTCACTTTGTTCTGTGGTTTTTCATATTCTGAGTGTTCAGCTTTGAAGAGATGATCTTGGTCATTAACAT